ACAATGGTGGTCGCCGTCGACGGCGTGCGGCAGCGGAGCTTCTCGGCTCAGCAGGGTCACCAGACCAACAACGGTAAAGGCGACGAAAGTTTAGGACTTGGCGAGAGAGCGCTCTCTGCGGCAGGGGCCGCTTTCCTATCGGCGATTATAGTGAATCCTCTTGACGTTGTGAAGGTAATAACGGCTTCGCATGTCGACGAATCTTTCGGTGCTTTCCTCGCGTTCTTGAGATTGGAAAATGATTGCTGGGAGAAAAGTGGGAAATCTTTGATCCTTCTTATTGGGGATTGGTGGGTTGAGTTTCTTGCTATGTGGGTCGTGTGTTTTTCTTGCTTTTTCTTTGCGATTGATGCTTCTTGGTGGGTTTTCTGATTTGGGGATTGCGTTGTATATCGCATAACATTGGTATGTCGATTAGTTTGGAAGGATCTCGGAGTTGATCCCATTGATGGGGCGTTGATCAATTTCTTATTGTTTCATTGAACAGACGAGGCTGCAAGCACAAGCAGCTGGAGTTGCTTACTCTCATCCACTTAGCAATGTCATAAATCGCATGGCTTACTTTGGTCCAACCATGGTAGATACATCCTTTTCTTTTTCGCTCCAATTGTTTCTGTCAATGATAATTTCTTGCTCTGAATGGTTTGGTTGAGTGACATTCGACCTTGTTTGCCAGTTGTTTGCTGATCTTAGGTGTTCACCATCTTGTACGCGTGCTGGACTTCATGGGACTGTGTCCATGTGCCCTCCTGATTGTTTTCAATACAAGGGAACCTTCGATGTGTTCAACAAGATCGTAAGACAGGTATACTACTGTTGTCAGTAGTTGCGTTCAATGATGTGAATGGTGCTGTTTCTGCTTGCTTGCATTTGTTTGTTTATAATGATTGAACATCAATTGTTGAACAACAAGATGATACTTGCAGGAAGGGTTTGGGAGGCTGTGGAGGGGCACAAATGCGGCTCTGGCTCTAGCTATTCCAACAGTAAGTTCCTTCTCGTGTGTGGAATTACGAGAAAGGCTTAGTTCTTTCAGAAGTGGAAAGACTCCTAAAAGCGAATCTCTAAGCTTATGGTGCTTGACATCATGTTTTATGCAGGTGGGCATTTACTTACCCTTATATGATGTATTTCGCATCTGGCTGGAGGAGAAAACCTCTCAGAGTATTCCTGGTGCAGCACCTTACGTTCCCTTGGTAGCTGGTTCACTGGCACGTTCATTAGCTTGTGTAACTTGCTATCCTGTTGAACTTGCTAGAACTCGCATGCAGGTATTTTGACTTTTGAGACTCCTTTTGGTTGCTTTTAATCAAGTAGTGAAATTCGGTTCATTCCTGTCCCTTTATCTGATGGCTCTCAGTCCATCTGTCAGTCAGTTTCCTTTTGTTTGTTACCTACCTCAAGGGTCATGGCCTTTCCCTTATTTTTTTCTTCTTTTCATTGAAATCATAGGCATTCAAAGCTGCGCAAAATGGTATGAAAGCTCCTGGCGTTTTAAAAACTCTACTTGAAGCCCTTCCTCATGTCCAAGGCAGGGACAACCGTGGAACTAACTGTGAGTATGCTTTGGGTGAATTTTCTCGGAGCCTATATTAGTTTAAAAGCTATATGGTAATACTTTTATATAAAAGAAAAAGTTCTCAGGTAGATGCAAAGTTTTTGACTGAGATGCTCTCTTGCAACAGGGAGAGGTTACCGGGTACTATGGACGGGCATGGGAGCACAGCTTGCTCGTGACGTTCCATTTTCTGGAATTTGTTGGGCACTACTTGAGCCTGTGAGTACATGTCCTTTTCTTTTTCATATAAAGAACGAGTTAGTAGTAGTTTCTTGCTAATGGATTGTGATTCAAGTCTATGATATGTTTATCCGAGAAGTATTTTTTGACATGGCTTTCGTTTTTTTGGCCTCACAGATGAGGAGAAATCTTTTGAGTATAGTTGGCGACGATGCAAATGTAGCCAGTGTACTTGGAGCCAACTTCTCAGCTGGTTTCATTGCAGGAAGTGTTGCGGCAGCTGCAACATGTCCCCTGGATGTTGTTAAAACTAGAAGGCAGATAGAGGTTAGTATTACCTTCCAGGGTTTCCGTGACTCAACAGACAGTAGATGCTCGATTTGTGTAGTTTCTGAGATTTAGCAGACTATAACCAGTTGCCTCTTCTCTTGTTTTAACTTTCAGATGGATCCTGTGAGGGCACTGAGTATGACAACACGACGAACACTAATGGAGGTTTGGAGGTAACTTTCCAGTGTAAATTCTTAGAATCTTCATCTTGCCATTGGTAGCAGTAACTTGTTCCTGATCATGCTTCATATGGATGAACAGGGATGGAGGGATGAGGACACTTTTCACTGGTGTTGGTGCCCGTGTTGGGAGAGTAGGGCCTTCTGTTGGCATTGTGGTCTCGTTCTACGAGGTGGTGAAGTACGCTCTGCATTCTCGGTATGAATCCGCTTAGCAAGTAGACTTGAGAGTGAAGCATCAGATGGGGTCTTGCCGACTGACCATTTTGTTTCTATTGTTCATAGTCTTAACAAATGTTCCTTGGGGAGTATAGGGAATGAAAAAGAAAAGGTTGGGTAAAAGTAGTAGGGGTAGCAGCAAAATAACAGTTGATAACATGAGAAGAGGCAGTTTTGTCTACTGGTGGGGTTTTTGTGACCTTCACTGAAAGCCTGCAAGTTTTCTGTGTCTAGGTGTAGTTTCTTCCTCCTTTTCCCCTGTAGGCTACGAAGCACAAGGGCATTGCTATGCCACAAAATAGAAACACCCTCTTCTCTGCAGAGTTTTGGCTATTCAGCTTGCCAAGCTGTAAAATTTTGGTTGAATTTTCATTCCTCACTTGAACGGAAGATTGTGCAGAGTACAATAATGGATTTTGGCTGAGGGGTTGGTCTCAGTTTTTGTCACAAGAAGGAATATATATGCTTTCTCGAAAACATATGATTGATGTTCATTCTTATCATCAGATTACCACAACCTAACCAGATGACATTGAAAACAACTAAAGACACTGTGTTCCCAATTCCCACCCATTTTATTGATTTAGCCTTCACAGAAGTTTCCTGCTCCTTTGATGTTCTTCAGCCTTGATATTGACAGCAACCGCCCTGGCATGGAGCATGGGCCACCGCCGCCTTGCTAGTCTCTTGCTTGACGCTCACGACAGCAGCAGCAGCAGCAACCGGTTGGGTGGTCTCTTGCTTGATGCTTGTGGCTGCGGCGGCAGCAGCACCAGGAGTAGGAGGTTTGGTAGCGATCTCCTCTTGATTCACCACGGTTTCCACCTTGGGAGTTGCATGGCTTGTCCCGCTCCTTCCTTGCATCCTTCTCAGACTGGTTACTGGTTAGCAAACTGCTCTGTGCGGCCTTGGTGTATGTGGTTTGGTGCTTGATAAGAGAAAGATCATCGAGTATTTATACAGAGATGGGGGACGAGGGTCGCATTGCATGATTGATTGCAAGTTCATGTACCATTACTTAATATATGATTGTGGAAGCCGAAGAGCTTTGTGGGTGTTTGTGTGCTTATTCTAGGGACTGGAGCAATTCATTGCACCATTAATTAACCCATCTTTCAGCAACTTTCCCACTCGTGGTTAATGCGTTACTGGATTGATTTGGGTCGGCCGTTTTTCCTGGTTTACTGGTCGGTAGCCAGCAATGGAGAATGGTTTGTGGTTACTGGTCAGGATCATGGGCCTGAATTTGGAGTCAAAACGTTTTCTGCGGTTTACTGTTTGATTCAAGGGCACGCAGAGAAGCAGAACATCACAGAATACTTGGCCTTGAGTTGATACGAAACAGAGACCACCCATATCTTGGATTTTCGAACCAAACTGGGATTGATTGGTTGGTGAAACTTAAATAGTTTTATTGCATGCTTGATATTTGTATAAATTGATTAAATTCACACCTGATGTTGTTTCCCATCACTGGAATTGATGAAAAAAAGACAGAGAATCTGGTCGATGAAATTCCCTACAAAACCAGAAGCATGCTCTCATCTTAGAGTCTTTCGACCATAAATGATTTGTAGAGAGATGCTAACTAATTTTTAATTTGCAATCGAAAATATGGATTGGTAAGTTAGGATCTTATGTATTTTGAAGTTTTTGTCAACTCTAAACTTGATTAAATCGATAGTTGGATAACAAGAAATGCTATATGCTTTACAAAATTTGTATCAATTCGCACCAAAATGAGGGATAGATTTGATCGGGGTAAATGACATATTTGGTCACTGAGATTACTAAATCGTGTCATATTTAGTCACTAGAAAAATTTAATATCAATTTTGGTCACTCGAATTACTGACACATGTCACATTTGGTCACTCTTCTGTAGCCTCTGTTCAACTCCGGTCACTCGAATTATTGAAAAATGTCACATTTAGTCACTCGTATTACTGAAACATGTCACATTTAGTCACTCTCCCAAAAGTTTCCGTCCAACAACATTAATGGAGTTGGACGGAAACTGACGGGAGAGTGACTAAATTTGACCGGTTTCGGTAATTCGAGTGACCAAAATTGATATTAATTTTTTCTAGTGACTAAACATGACACAATTTAATAATCTCAGTGACCAAATGTGTCATTTACCCGATTTGATCGTGAAACTTGTATAGATTGTTATATGTTTGATACATGTATAAATTCTTCTATTGTTTTTTTTTTTTTTTACCGTTATATCACTCGTATCATCGAGGAAAGAAAAGATCCAAATGTCAATATAACATCCTAATATCAAGACGTAAAATCAAACCCCAACGAACTCGGCCAATAAGCAAAGGGCCTTATTCGAGGAATATGACTATCGATTTCAATCGTTCAATTGACGACTGAAAAGACACGAATTGATCTTTATAGAATTCATTACAAAACTGGAATCAAATTCAAACCAACTTATGGATATATCTTTACCAAATGGAGCAGGAAGCCGGCAAAACCAGAGTTACAAGAAGCATGTGACATGAAAAGAGTGAAGGGTGCGATGGGAAGAACACCAGACCAAAAGAAAGAACCAAGATCTGTACTACTCTGTCTCTCTTGACATCAATGGACAATGTAGGTGACGGCCAATGCCAACACCATCAGACCAAACGCTATCGCCTGATCCAACTTTGCCCCTACACCGAACCCACGAAACTTAAAGTTCAATAACTCGAGTCGTTGAAAGACGTTACGAAAGCTTGTGTGTAGTATGTTCTTACCACTGTCATCGCCGGTGGGAGAGGGAGAAGAGGAAGTGGGAGGTGGGGATGATCGGCGGTGGCGAGATGAAGCCGCCGGTGGGAGTACCGGAAGAAAGATGGAAGTTAACAGAAGAGCCGTGGCTGCAAACGCTACTACTCTTCCTCCCAAAACTTCCATTATCATCGATCAGAACCCTCCTTTTGTTTTTCCAGTCGCCGACTCTGTTTCTCTGCCCGACTCTGTTTCTCTGCCGTCGTAAGGAACAAAATTAATGATTTAGTGAGATGGGTACTGTCTTTTTTTCTTTCTTCCTTCTTTCTCCCATTGCGCCGGCAATTTATAACATGTAGCGCCGCACCATGGCCGTCTTTATGTAATTCCATTCTTATTAATCTCATTTTTCTTTTTATATCTGTTCCTGTCCATTTGCGCATTGTCACTTTCTCATAACGCCGGGGGGAAAAGCCATTCGGCTCGGACAGAATTTATAGTTTAATTTGTCTAGACAGGACAAGTTGCCGCATGGTTTCTTCCAAATGCTCGGACAGAATTCATTTATCAAAATCAATGAATTCCAACAAACCGTTATGAAGAGGGTGGGAAATTTTTAAATTTCTCTCAATGACTCGAAATACTTTTTGGCAGCATTTATGCGCGACAACTGACAAGTTTGTTAAGAAGATTATCGCGGGTCGGTGAGTTATGTAAGCGACCCAAATGTTCCTCAGCATCGAAACAACAATCAATTAGAGCTCCAGCAAATTAGAACTGCAGCAATGGCAACAAACAGATACAGAATAGAACAACAATGTGTGAGCCAGTTATTCTGTATTCTCAATTCTTATTGCCTTGCGTTTTTTTGTCACTTTATGATCATCATCATCAGATAAAAGCACATGATTACCCGACTTTGGAGTAGTCGAGGGAGGCCATCGTGCCAAGTCAAAATCATTGGACATCTCACTTACGTACGTTCCCACTTGTTACAGTAAACTCAAACTCCCCCAAAGAGAATTGATTTTTCTGTAACCAAAACAATGTCGGGAACCTTTTGTCTTGTTTTGTTGCCTTGCCTCGTCACCCTCCCAAAAGTCAGATGGACAAAACGAGAAGAAAACCATGCAAGCAAACAACCAACCAGAAGAACAATGTCTTGGATATGTCATGTGTGGTTTCTGTAGGTATGCAAACTCTGCCCTCTCGACGATCTCGTAGACATTGCCACGACTTTAGAAGCTGGGAGTGGCGCAGTGGTGCCATTGGCGGTTCGTGTTGTGCAGAATGCAAATACACAGCTTATGGTATGAAGCAAACACCCAACTGATAATATAAGACGTAGATAAACAGCTTCATAATCATACTGTACATATTCCATTCATTGATCATGAGTTTTCTACAGAGGACCAGCTATTCATGAGTCCATCCAGCCTAGACTAATTGGACTACATACAAAAGAAGCTCGGGTTTTCCTACGGAAGACCAGTTATATATGCATTGCTTGCCAAAAAGAAAACAGGTGTTGGAGCCTGAATTAGGTTAGCTAGACTAATAAGACTACATACAAATAAGCACTGATGTTCCTTCTAAGAAGAGGGAGGGTTTCCAGAGTTTGAAACTTACAATCACCAAAAGGTAAAATCTCACACCAGAGGCTTTACTTGTTGTCCAAGGCAGGTGGGCAGAAACGGTCCTCTTTATTCCTGTAAATATTGAACAGCTGGTTCGAGTATTTCATAGCCAAGCGTCTGCATACATCGACTCCGTCAAAAGCTTCGAATTTCTTAGGTTTATATGCCTGCAATTCTTCCACAGACTTGCTCACGTCGCCTAGTGGGCCAATCAGAAACAGTTACATCAGTAGATAAAGGAACAAATAGCAAAGGTAGATAATCCAATATCGGAATATTGGAGCTGCCTAGTGAGAACCAAGCCCTAAACCTTAGAATCCAAACGTTTTTGGTCTGAACAGAAGAGAAGAGAAGGACCATAGCAGAAACTGGTGGGGGAAGAAACCTACGATATTACACTGAAAGATCGCAACTTTACTGTGCACAATCTAAACCTGTTCAACAACGTTTCTACTCTGACAACTGGAAAGATTTTATCTTTAGCCACCAAAATCAAGTTCTCGCTCGACCCATTACAGCTACCCATTCCTTTCCGCAGCCCTCAGACTCAATACTGTAAACCCAAAGCAGGAAGGAAGGAAACCCAAGAAACAAATGCACCAAAAGGTCACACCTCCGCTCTAGATTTTCCTAGAAAACCAAACAGATATCAAAGGGAGGCAAGCAGCAGAGCGACACGGAGGACACACACACACACAGTTACAATAAGGTGAGGAAGTACCTTACGTGGATTGGCCACCTCTAGGGACAAGGGCTTCGCGGGAAGCTTTCTTCTTCGAGCAAAGAGTAGTTGAAATTGCGACTGAACGTGGAAAGAAGCGAGAGCCAATGAAAAGTGGAGTTTTTGTAACTGCCTGCGTGGCGCCTGCCGAGAACAAACAGTAACGGTCGACCCGGTGACCTGAAGATGGTGGGGGAGGTGGGTCCCACTATGTAATGCCACGTTGGAACCTGGAACTGAGACTCTAATTCGACGAATCAATGAACATAACGACGTCGTTACATAAATGGAAAGATGGCCATATTCAAGATAAACGGCTTTCACAATCATACTGTTACACATTCCATTCATCGGTTCTAAGTTTCCTACTGGAGACCAGTCATAACTCATACATGAGTTCATAGATGCTAATATCCAAAACAAAGCAGGTGTTGGAGCCTCGATTAGCTAGTTAGACTAATAGCATTACATACAAAATAAGCGACAACTTTCCTTTAAGAAGGTGAGGCTTTCCAGGAGACTTCGAGTCACTAGCAGGCAAAGCTCGTGCTCTGGCTTTACTTGTTATCCACTGCAGGAGGGAAGAAAGGATCCTCACCACTCTTGTAAATGTTAAACAGTTGATTCGCATAGTGCAACGCCCAATCTCTGCACTTGTCAACTGCCTTGGGATCATATGCTCGCAATTCCTCCACAGACTTGCTCAGATCGCCGTTGGAATCAATCAGAAACGCTGCTATCTTGGAGGCCCTGCGAAGTGACGAGAGCAGTAATAAGCATGTACAGAACAAAAGGGACTTGCATTGTTTTGTACACTTAAACAAGAAACAAGAATTGACCATTGGAGCACAACCCCGCACGAGGGTTCTTCAGATGTTTTTTTACCTGGAACCATGAGATTGACTGAATCCTCGTTTATTGGAGTGGAATGTATTCTTGGCAACTTGTTCGTCACAAGTTTGCTGTCGGTAAAGAGCACAAACAGCTCTCATGCAAAGCTCATTATCTTTGCCAAAGTCTGATTGCATTTCACCCACTGACTCCCAGTTGAACTTCTGATTCCTGCTTCTTTGAAGCTTAGACACGATGTCTTTCATTTCCATTCCGATATCAGCACTGCCTTCCGTTGAACAGGTGTCACCACCATCAGAAAGTGAGGCATCAGAACTCTCAATGATAAAGTCCTTCATGCTGTCATCTGAACTGCCAGAGCCCTCTTCTTCATCTGTTGTACTGTCTTCAGCACCATCCGCTGTCGTAGGAATTCCTCGTTCGGATTTGCTCCTGTAAGTAGTCTCACTTGAAGCATGCTGTTGAGAATCAGATTTTTTTCTAGATTCACCCATTCTCTTTAACCGCCGCCTACGAGGGGTCACAGTGTCTCTCACATCATCGCCACTTGCAGAAGGTGAAGCAGCCTTAGACAAGTGCTTTGCATCACAGGTCACTTTGCGAAAATGTTTTGCCTTCAGTTGAGCTAGTGGAACGTTATCATCCTCACTCTCACTATCACTAGCAACCACATTCGCAGTTCTCTTCCTCTTGGGAGTAGTGGCACCCGGATTACTACCAATGCACACATCCATATCATCGTCAAGGCTAAGATCATTAACTTTGCTCTTCAAACTGGTTTCTGGTGATTTCTCCTTTTCATCACTGTTATTAGGTTCATCATCACTGTCATCTATATTAATGATGCCAGACCCATTACCTTTGGGATCTGTAGGAGTTGTTGGAGCCATCTTCCTGGAGGAATCTTTTTCTTTTTCAAATAATAGATGTCTTCTAGATTGTGTACCACTTCTCTCTCTGGATTTCTGTCCTCCAAAAAGGGACTCGCCATTGCTTCGCAGATTGCTACAAGGTGTTTCTGTCAGTGGAAAAAAATTAGCTTGAACTTCTAACTTTATTTTATTCTATTGACTTGCTACACTTTACGTTTACTACGCATTCAGCACAACGAGATTTCAATCAACATAGATATGATGGGAAGAAAATGCAATGGGATCAGTACCAACTATCAAGTACTAACTATCCTACTCATGTTTACAGGTTGGGTTAACGACTTCCAAATCTTGCAGCTCCGGTTCCCTAGCAAAGCCAATGCAAAATCTTGCAATAGGATCAATAACAAGGACTAACCATGTTACATTGTCATCTCTCCGATTCTATTTAACATCCTACTCTTGTTTACAGGTTGGGTTAAAGACTTTCAATTCTTGTAGCTAGGGTTCCCTAGCAAAGCCAATGCAGCATTATAAGGTATATGAAGCATAAGAAACTGTCTTACTGGAAACGTCAGAAGTAGCTCCAGCAGCAGGTACATGTCCATCTCCAACTTCGTTGCTAATTTTTCCCACCATAGACTTCAATTCTTGGTACTTTCGTTTCCAAACTTCGACCACATTTTCAGCCTTCTTCTTCTCACATTCCAGGGTAACATTCTCAACCTTGAGCTGAAAAAGCTCATCATCGTCCTCCTCCACTTTTCTTGCCTTCAAAGATTTGAGTTCATCTTCAATTTCCAACTTTCTAAGCTCCAGAGCCTTATACTTCCCTTCGAGTTCTTTATACTCGCTCTTCCGTATCTCAATCTCTGCTTCCAATCCTCTAATCCTCGCTTCAGCATTCTTAATCCTCTCTTCTGACTCATTACACCTCGAAACCGGTTCACTTCCCGCCAACACTTCAAGCTTTGGAGTTTTGCTTTCCATTTCAGCATTCATCGCCGTGTCTCGAATCAGATACTAGACATTAAAGACAAGATTGCCACCCGCCTTGCTAACTGTTCGTTCATGAAATTGAAACCAAAGGAGTTGCAACGGCAGTAGGAATTGAGGAACCAAACGCAAATGCAGGTAACAAAATGTCCAATCACTATGGCCGTCTAGTGAAAACCAAACCCTAAAACTCGAAATTCTCAAACCATCAATACTAATACTACACTGAAAGATCGCAACTTTACTGTGGCCCCATCTAAACCTAATCAACTACGTTCTTACTGTGACAACCTGAAAAAGAATTGACCTTTAACCAACAAAGTCAAGTTCTCGCTCGACCCATTACAGCTATTTATTCCTTTCCGCAGCTCTCTCACTCGATTTTTGTAAAACCAACGCAGGGGAACTACACCCAAGGAAAAGAAAGGAACCAAAAGTTCACACCTTTGCCCCAGATTTGCCGGGAAACGAAACGGAGATGGAAGGGAGGAAGCAGAGCGAGCAGAAGTGAGGCGGGAAGGTGGAGAAGTAGCTTTAGCTGGCTACCTCTAGTGTCTAGGGCTTCGCGGGAGTTTTCATTCTTCGCGCAATAGCGGGTGAAGTTACGAGGGAATAAGAAAAGAGCGAGTCAAAATTAAACTCGAAACAGCGAGTTTTTGTAACTGCCTGCGTGGCGAGCGCTACAGTAACGGTGGAACGGGCAACGTGGCGACGGAGGAATATAAGGCTGGGAAAATAGACCAGACCATTAGAAAAACCGTGGTCCAAACCGTACCGTACAGTTTGGTCCGGACCATAGACCGTGAAGTATGGTCTGGTCTGGTCCATGGTCTGTATTATTTTATGATTTGATCTCTTGGTCTGGTCTGGTCTAGACCGCGGTTTACCGGACCAAACCGTTGATCCAATTGACTTGTCAATACGTGTTAACAGCCCATTCGACCACTCTCCAAACTCCCACAACCACACCCAAGTCTCAACCTTAATTTTGTGAATCTCTTCCCTCCTTCATTCACAACCACATTTAACCACAGAGTAGAGATAATCGTGTCTCCATATGACATTATGTTAATGTTTATGACATTATGGTGCAAGCTGGGATGCTTTTACTTTGTATCTTTGTTATGTACTAAGATTTAGAGTATCAAAATTATTCATGCATATTAGGAATAATGTTTTAAGACAAATAACAATTATTTTTCTTGGTTATTGGTTCAATTTTTTGTGTGATTGACTAAACAAATTATTCATTTTTCGTTGAGTGTGGTCTATCTGGACCAGACCAGACCGAACCAGACCGCACAGGCGTGGTCTGGACCAGACCGTATAGTCTGTGGTCTGGTCTGTGGTCTATACTTTAGCCTCTCAGTCTGGACCGTAGACCGTATATATGGTCTGGTCTGGACCAGACCGCACCGTTTCCCAGCCCTAGAGGAATAGAATCTGGCTTGTAAGGCGTATTAGTTTGATTGATAAGTTGTATAAATTGGAAAATTCAAACTTCAAAATCATGAGCATGTAGGTTGTTAATTCATGATTTGATATTGACTCATTTATAAATAATTTAAATTAAATGAGTGAGAAATTGATGTGAGTGGATTGTAAGAGAAAATTTTCTACTCACATTTATATGGATGAGTGAGTTGTGGGTCATCTAAATAACCTAGATCCCACTTTCACATTACACAGAGTTGTTTCTTATTTATATTATAGATTAATAATACGTAGTTTCTAATTGCATAAACACCCAGACCGTCGACTTCTAAAGACGGTAAAGAAATGATATTTTTGAACTACTATAATGATTACTATGTTGTATAATGTCAATTTGATATTGAGATGTTAATTATAAATTTTTAATTGTACCGAAGTCACAATAAGTGTCAATTTTCTCAAAGATTTGATACCATGCCAAATTATTGAAATCCACACACTTAAAAAGCCTTGTTCTCGAAGAATATGTGGTTAGTGTTTTTGTTTTCTTTCTAACCGAATAATTCATTCAGAGTGACCAACTAAAAATCTGGTACGAGTAAAAAAAATTTGCATGTCATAACTCATAACTACTAGGAAAATCCACAGGAAACAAAGTGGGTAGTGTTTAAATTGGTAGCGTCTTCTTACTTTGCGAGGAATTTATTATAAATATTAGTCAACTTGCCTAGTGGTTAGTTGTAGAATTGTTTTAAGGGTTAACCCACAACCTAACTTATTCCACTCATCATCCACCCAACCCAATTCGAAAAAGAACAAGACTGGATAGTGAGTTACAATTATACGAACCCAGAATTTGAACCGAAATCCACCCAACCCATTACCCACCATCATCCAACCACGTACATGAATTGAATCCATTCTTACATAAATCACACGTCTAACAATCAACATCATCCCATATCCTATTGTGTTAGCAGCAAGAACAAAAAAGGTAAATTGCTGTGATAAGTCATGAATTTTTGTCTCCCAAATAACAACCGCTTCCACCACTGAGGTGGACAAAATCATTATATATATAGCGTAGAGATAAAAACAGATTTCATACTGTACACAATTCATCAGTTTCCTACAAAATAACTAGGTGTCCCAGAACACTTTCATTAGTCAGAATGCTAGCTAGACTGCACACAAAATAAGCAGTGACCTCACCATCCTACATGAAGGAGAGGCTTTTCCAGAGTTTGAAGACTCTCTTGCTTTTACTTGTAGCCCACGGCTTTACCAGAGATCATCCTCCTCATTCTCGTAAATTTCGAACAGTTGCCTCGCATGGTACAACGCGATTTCCCTGCAGGTCTCGACTCCATCAGGAAACTCTGCTCGTAACTCTGCCACATTTCGCTTCATATCACCATCAGGATCCTCATCCGTGAGAAACTCTGCGATCTCGGAGCCCCTGCAAGTGATTCATAGCAATCAGCAACCAAACATGTCCAGAACAAATGAAGATTTAGCACAGTAAGGGGGTTCAGATGCTTTTACATGGGAGCATGAGTCTGGCTGAATCCTCGCCCATTGCGGTGAAATGTAAGCCCCTCTTCACGTTCATCAGGAGTTTGCATTCGATAAAGGGTACAGACAGCCATCATGCATAGCATATCATCTTTCTCGAAATCTGCAGCTAGATCCCAGGAGGACTCCCAATCCTTGTCTCTTTGAAGCTTGTACACAATCTCTTGTTTCACAGCTGTGCCAGATGGACAACTAGCAATGCACGTCTTCTTACCATCATCAAGGTAATGATGATTGTTAATCTTGCTCTTCAGACTGATTTCAGGAGATTTCTCATCTTCGATGCCTGTACTCAATGACAAAGTGCAGAGCTTTGAGCCAGGAAAAGAAGATTTGAGATCTTCAGGAGTTGATGGAGCCATCTCTCGAACGTTCTTGTTTTCTTCTTTAAAAAACAACTGTGTTCTAGCTAGTCTATCACTTATGCCTCCACACATCTCCCCTCCAATAAAGGGATTGAATTGGCTCGGAAGATTGCTACCTGATGTTGCTGTTAGCAGGAAGCAAAACAGCTATAGAGATCACACTTTGACATCTTTTGATATTACATACTCAATTACAGAAAACACTTGAGATTTTAACAAATAGAATCATGGTTGTAACTTGGAAGAACATGCAATGCGATCAACAACAAGTTTCTAATCAGCATCCTAGGTTGTTTACTTTTATAAGAGGAAGCACTAAACTTATAAGCTTAACACAAGTTAAGTCCAAGACATATATCAGATGAAATCCAATTACCCAAAATGTCAGAAGTAGCTCCAGAATCCTGCTGTAGATCCACCTGCAAGTCATCTGCCCTGATTTCAAGACTCAGCCAGTCTTTTCCCACCTTAGAGCCCAATTCTTGGGACATTCGTCTCAGAACTTTGGCCTCATCCTCAGCCTTCGTCTTCTTCTTCTCACATTCCAGGGCAAGCTCCAATGCCTCAAACTTCTCCTTGAGCTCTTCATACTCACTGTTCCTAACTTCAATCTCAGCTTCCAAGCCTCTAATTCTTGCTTCAGCCTGCTTGATCCTCTCCCATTTTGTTACACCTCGAATCCGACACACTTTCCACCTCCAAGAGTTCGCGCCTTTCTGCCTTCCCACCTTGATCCCCAATTCACCTCCATTCGCCGCCATGTCACTCTACAGGCAAGGGAAAAGCTCTTGCTAACTGAGATTCATAGAATTGAACCAAAGGGGTTAACAATAGCAGTAGAATACACACAAAGGTACACCAACGCAATGAACATTGGATCTGTGAGGTGAGAAGCAAACCCTAAACCTCAAAGTGTTGATGCTTTTTCATGGCCATAACAGAATACAGGCAAGGAAACACAACCGAAAGATGCGAAGAAACTACGACATTACACTGACGAATCTTTTTGGGACCAATCAACAGAAGCTACCACGTTACTACTTCGAGTCTGTGGCAACTAAGTGGGGGGAAAGAACCCATCTTTAACCTACAAAAGCAATTTCTTATCCAAAAACAGTGAACGACCCATTGCAGCTACGTAATCCTTCGCACAATTCTTTCAGAGAACCTTGTGAAACCAAAAGTTGGAAACCCAAGTTACAGAGTCGCCAAAGTTCACACCTTTGACCTCACGAAAACCAAACAGGGAACCAGAAACCAGAACGAGCAGAGCAGAGCAGAGTGTTAAACCTTACATGGATACCTCTAGGGTTTCTCGGGGACTTTTCTCCTTCGTGGAAGCAGTTGAAGTTATAACTTATAAGGAAAAAGATGGAGAGAACCGTCCGATCATATATTCATAGCGCGAGATAGGCGCGTAGGGTGGGACAGTTTTATAAACTGTTGCCAAATGATCCAGTAACGGTTACAGCAGTGACGGGGGAGTGGAGGAACCTGAACCGCCTTGGTAAGGCCACGTGTAAACAAGTCTATCGTTTGTCAACCTGATTTAGCCCGTTGGTACGGTCTAGCAAGTGAGTGAAGGATCGATGATCCCGTCGTTTTAAACTTATTTAGTCCGGATATACGAACAAATTCATTATATTGTTTATACATATATAAATTTTATCAAATCTCATCTAATATATGAGTAATAATGTTTAAAATTACACCAAAATAAATAGTTCGTACGTGAATACGACATATAGTAAATTCAAACACACTTCAATCCACCATATAAAATTTTTATTGGCACTTTGAATGAACCGGAACAACCTGTGAAAGGCAAGCAAAGTGGCCTTCTGGAATGAAAGTTCGTTGGCCGGTTTTGTCGGGTTTGACCAGGTTGAGATGGGTTTGATGAATTCGGGCTAAGTTAAAAATGGGTGTGCCCGTTTTCCCACCGGGTCAGGGTCAACACACAGGGTGATTCCCGGGTTGACAATGACAACCTTGCTCTCACTCGACGAGTCAATGAAAATAATGGTGTCGTTTCACCTACTTGTTTTCCTTGAAAGTCGGTTACTCTCCCTCAAAATTCCTCACCAATTTGTTAACGGACCGTTTGAGATCAAATGAATTGAGAATTCATTTCGTTTTAAAATGAATTTCTATGTTTGGAATGTCGTATTAAAAAATTTATAAATAAATTGCATAGAATTCCCAAATCGTGTTTGGAATATGTTAATAATTGAATTAAATTAAAAGTTATCAACGATACGCTTCTTAATTTCCATCAAAAATAAAATTGCTATCGCTATTTGAAAATCAATCTTCTAAAAACACAAGTGTTAAAGTTATCATCAAACCAATTCGACCAAGTACAAAACGAACTTCGTAAAAATTCGTAAACCACTTGAAGATCCATCTTCTAAAATCATTCATTGTAACTAATTTTTCTCCTTAGCCAAAAGACATTATTCTCCCCATGATTATATATTAGGTTAAGTAGCGGCTGAGCGAAATCATATCTTAGGTTAAGTAGCGGCTGAACGAGAAAGGTTAGCCGCGCAATCATGTATTGTTGGCAACAAATTATATACATGGGGTAATTTACTCCATATATATGCCTTATCACTTTGCTTTGCCTCGTACATACATCTCACACATTTCAGAATCGACACTTTCCCTAAGTCGTTGATTGGTCATGTTAGAATCTTGAGTCCCCCGAGCAACACATTACTGACAATATACACATTCCATTAGTTGATTCAGAGTTTCCTACCGGAGAAGAGTTATACATTGCTTGGCACACAAGGCAAAAAACTAGGAGTGCCGGATAGTAACTTAGCTAGACTGGTAGTTAGACGATTTACATACAAAATAAGTGCACTGATTTTCCTTTTCAGAAAGCAAGGCTCCCCAGAGTTCATGGCCTGCAATCACTAAAAAGGCAAATCTTGTTCTCTGCATTTTGCTTCACTTGTTGTGCACGGCTTGCCAGAAATGGTCCTCTTTGTTCTCGTAGATCTCGAACAGTTGCTTATTATAAGTAGAAGCCATTTCCCTGCACGCTTGAAGTCCATCAGGATCTGGAAATCGTGCTTGTAACTCTTCCACAGACTTGTTCATATCACCAAGGAGATCCCCATCCGTGAGAAACTCCGCGATCTCGGATCCCCTGTGAGGCGATGAGTAGAGCACTCGGTAATTAAGCATGTTCTGAACAAACAATGAAAAAGATTGTGCCATTGGGTTGCAGGAATGAGAGTTCAGATGTTTACCAGCGAGCATCATCTTGGCTAAACCCTCTCCCGTTGGCATCGCGTGTTACCTTGAACATTCGTTCATAAGATGTTTGCTGTCGGTAAAGAACACAGACCGCCATCATGCACAGCTCGGGTTCCTTAAAAGCTGCAAGCATGTCGCCATATTGCTTCCAATTGAACCACCAATCCAGTTTTGAAGCAATCTTCCTTTTCGGAGTGCCAATGCACTTAAGGGGGGAGGTTGTTCTAACATCAAACTGACGGATATCCTCCTCAGTGCCTGTACTTCTTGCTGAACTGCAGCTCTTCAAACCAGGAAAAGAAGATTTGGGGTATCCAGGAGTTGATGGAGCAAATTTTATAACGTGATCTCTTTCTTCTTCAGCATACGACAGTCTTCTAGCACTTGTACCACTTACAATGCCTCTGGATTTCGGTCCTCCAAAACAGGATCTGTCCTGGCTTGGAACATTGTTAACTGGTGTTGCTGTCAGCGGAAATAAAGCAGATTTAGATATCACAATCGGCACTTATGGATACACAAGCAGAACTATGAGATCTGAATAAATAAACAGAAGCATGGCTGGAACTTGGAAGATGATGTAATGGGGTCAGTAACAAGTGCTGAACCCCATACTCTTCGATTCTAATTAGAGCGTCCTACGCCTTCTAAGATGAAGCACTAAGCTGATGAAATTAAATCTAATTCATAAGTCCATGACAGATGTTAAGCAATGCTCTTACCCAATAAGTCAGAAGTAGCTCCAGAAGCTGGTTGTGGATCCACCTGCAAGTCATCTAACCTGATCTTAAGATTCGATCCATCTTTTCCCACTTTAGAGCTCAATTCATGGGACATTCGTCTCAAACCTTCAACCTCCAGCACCATACTCTCCTTCTTCCTTTCACATTCCAGGGCAAGCTCTAGCGCCTCATACTTCTCCTGAAGTTCTTCATACTCATTCTTTCTCATTTCAATCTCAGCTTCCAAGCCTCTAATTCTCGCTTCATCCTGCTTAATCCTCTTCCGTTTCACTACACCTCGAACCCGGCACACTCTCCAACTCCAACAGTTCCCGCGTTTCTGCCCTCGCACTTCTCCATTCTTGGTCATGTCACATTACAGGCAAGATCCACCGGCCTTGCAAACTGTGGTTCATAAAATTGAACCAAAGGAATTCATAAAAACAGCAGAATCAAGAGCATATACACAATATGCATACCGCCTAAACCTCGATTCTCGATGATTTCTTTTTTGGTCAGAAAAGAATAGAAGCGAAGAACAGACAACAAAATGAAGGCCAAGAACTACGAACAATCCACTGAAAGATCGTTTTAAGTGTGAGCAATCAACAAAAGCAACTACCTAAGTGGGGGAAAAGCGTATCTATTAACCCCAGCTAACAAGAATCGACCCATCACAGATGCTCATATGCTCATTCCTTCCCACAGCTCTTTGAGTCAAATTCGTAAAGCCAAAGCTGGAAACCCAAGATCCAAAGTAGACAAAGTTCGCACCTTTGACCTCAGGAAACCAAACAGAGAAGGAGTAGAGTGAAGTGAAGTGTTAAAACTCACCCGGCCAAATCTAGGGTTTGTGGGCAGCTTTCTCCTTAGCGCAACTGAAAAAAATGATCGAAAGTGTCTCCAGATCACTCCAGCCAGTGACAGTGTGACTGTGTGAGAAAGGCGCGCAGAGAGGGAGGGAGTTTGATAACCGGTGACAAATATACACAGTAAACGGTTACAACCGGTGACGTGGAGGTCGGGCAACCATGACTTGCGGATGAAGGAGTCAAGAAAACGACGTCGTGTAGATTGAAAGACGGACAGATAAATAGTTAAATACAGGCAGGACACGAGCTCCATGCTGGTGGGTTTTGGATCGAGATAATTTGGGCCTGTACTGATAATTATCCGTTGGACCAAATCTATATGATGAAACAAATCCAGATTTCAAATTGGACCCACAACCATATGGCTAAATAAAATGAAACACAAATTTTGAAGCGTGAGAGTGGGATGAGAAATTCAACCCGAATTCACCCGTACCCAATTCAACCTAATTTGGTTGAATTGGGTAAAATCTAGTATCGATGAAACCCGACCTGTTTTTGGAATTAGTGGGTTGGGTTTGAGATTTGCCAAAACACAACTCGTTTGTCACCCATAAAGAAAATCGACCTTATTTTGAATCTAACCGAAACAATAAGAACAAATTATGGATGCTATTAGTCTTGATGGTAATATAAACATGGTAATATAGATGATTTTATGAATGTTAGTAGTCTTTTATGGAGATATTGGTAGGCAAAATTTGAATAACATTATGGTGTGGGTGTTATGATTCTAAATGTATTGGTAGCCATGCACATGTGGGTATTCGTTGGCTTGAATTGCGTCTTCACTTTTTATATTCAATTGGTACTTTGTTAGCTTGTTTTAATGAGTGCGCTCATTGGATTGAGTTTGAATTGAGAGAAACTCGACCTGATCAGACCTATTATGATCCTCCCCGAGAGGTTAATAATTGGTAAAGAAGTAGGTGGCAAGAGCTAAATTTTTTTGGAGTTGGTTGGGAGGGGGACCAAGTTAATTTGAATCATGTAATCAAATTAATTGGGATATGAAAGGGAAATGGTCCAAACAGTACTCCAAAATGTAGCAGACATTCCTGTGGGGAAGAAATTGGTATTCACAAGACAATTTATCTCCAACCAATTTTCATCCGCCTAAACACTTGTGGTAATGTCGTTGTCATAAAAAATGCTAAGTTTTTTTTTTGTACTATAATTAATACATTTCAGTGGCCAATTAAAGGTTGAAATAGCTAATACAATATGTATCATATTTATTTTTCCAAAATTTTCTCATTTAAATTATCCACATTAATTTGGTAGCTCCTACTTTAGGATATTCTCTCATGCTTTTTTAACTCCATTCTTTTCTCAAGTTTGTTGTTAGGTGTGATTTTTTTAGATAATGGTGATATATGTTTGTTTAAAAAATTATGTGCTACTTAAGTGATTTGAACCTGTAACTTTCAGGATCATGACCACCGGATAAGCCCTTTGTTCACTTAAATGTGGTTCTTATTTTAGTAGTTATTGACTTTTATAAGAAAGGAATCATCGATTCATAGATCCTAGGTTTAGAGTTGAGCCCATGCAACTTCTAATATAATCTAAGGAAGATATCAAAGAATAAAAATTGCTACAAATGATGACTCTTTCTTGGAGCAATCGTGCAATCTTTATGCTCATGTTTTGAATATACCGAAAGAGATAGTGAAATCGGAAGTTTATAAAGAGAATGTGTCCTTAAATGTCATAGGTAACTTTGGGTTAGAGAAGTGAAAACTCGTCAAGAAGAAGAAGAAGGATAATGAGGAACTCATCCATTCTTAACTTATTTATATTTTAAATTTCTTAATTTGTTCGTAACCTAAAAAATGAAGCATACTTTTCGGATCTACCCATATCATCTTCTTCATCATCATAATCTGTACTGAATTCTACAACATCAAGAAAGAAAAGAAAAGAAAAATATCATAAAGATCAAACACAATTTAGCAACTTGAGAAGTAGCTTCTACCTATGACTTCTTTGAATCCAAATCAAGTACTAAGTCATGAATGGATTTGGGGAATAATGTCATAATATTACTGCGTACTTGCGACTTGATTTGATTTTCACAAGATTAATGTTGATCATTCTATAAAGATAGCAAAGTGATAATTCAGTCTAGAGAAAGTTAAATTATACACAAAAGATTTGTAAGAGACTTAAATATTCAGTACGATATAAGATGTCTTAGATAAATTCAAAATACTCTCACCCTATATGACCTTACATTTTCTAGAACCAAACCCCTCTTCATTTCTCGGACAAGTCATATTTCAGTTTCTTGAAGCACCCTTATTTTCTTCAATAAAATCACAAACTTTCATGCAGTTCTCGATTAATACGTTGTTCCATGTAAGTATTGCTTTTATTTTTTTATTTTATGTCATCCATCATTTTTGGACTAAGTTTGTAAATGGTAAAAATATGTTCCTTAAGTCATTGATCATCATAGATAAGTTTTTGTATGAAGAAAATGAATGTGTTGTCTGATTTGCATCTCCCAGGGATAGATGGTTGCAAATAAATTGGTATTTGCGATACATATAACACCATGGTATATTAAATGATAGTTTTATTGCATTATGAAAAGAATACATAGCGAGAAATCATTTCTGGATAGTTTAAAAATGCATATATAGCTTTATTATAACATAATTATCTTCTACATCTTGTATTGTAATATGAAAATAAAAATTTGGATGAACTTATTGATTATTTTGTTGTCCTCAAGAAGTTTATATATATCATTCTTTGTGAGATAAAGTTTGACAAACGCAAGCATCAAGTTCCTTCAAAACTAAAATATTATATTATGGGAGTGTTAAGGCCTTGAATAAGGTTATTGAAAAGGAGGCTAATGTTAAATAAATTTTACAAAACAATGAGATAAATTCTTATCTATTTATTTTCTCTATTACTCATAAATATATATTCCATAAATCTTCTATTTCCCCCCCCCCCACCCCCCACCCCCTTTTTTTGTCTTACAGACGAAAGTAAGGATGAAAAGAATAAGTTTGCGGCTAATAGATATTGATTGACATTCATTTTCAAGTTATAAAATATAATAAACCTGTCACATATTAAAATGAATGATCTTGAGAGAACTAACAGTTTCAACTTTTATGTCTTCCATCTTAATGGTTCAGTTAACCAAACCAACAAACTCTCAAATAATTTTCATTATCAAATAGCTTTTTCGGAAGTGAAATGGATGCAGATATAATGATGCCCCAAAGTCGTAGTTATGAAAAATGGATGACCATTATCATAGAAATCTACCGATAACATGCAACGATATCAGTTAATTGTATACTTATTATAATAGCTCTTTTTAACGGGTGACAAATGGAGAAGAAGCGGGGAAAATCTCAGAAGAATATGGAAATCTTTTTCAAACATATGTGTGCATAGCTAATTGGTGCTCCATTTCTAATTAGTATAAATGGTATTGGTTCCTTATTATGTTAATTTAATCCGCATTATCTCCTACGTAGGGCTGGTCGTTCGGTTAGCTGTTACCGGTTAACCGGTCGGTTAACCCAATAACCAAAAAATGCAGTTTCGGGCGGTTGGCGGTAGAAGGGCTGACTGTGCCGGTTAACCGGCTAACCGACGGTGATAACCGGCAATTGAAAACGACGCCGTTCTCACTCTCCTAACCCTAATCGAAGCGGCTTCCTTCTCTGCAATCGACCCTCACTCTCCTTCTCTGCCAATCTGCCAATCTGCTAACCGGAAGAGAAACCAAAAGCAAACAAGAACAGAGTAGGCGAGTAGCTCAATGAAAAGAAAGGGAAAGCAGTAATGGACGGAACTTGCAAATTTTACTCGACATGCCACCACCCCTCTACTCAGCCGCCCCAAGGAAAAGGAAAGATGGTCTTAATGACAGTCCAAACCTCATTCGCCGCCGTTTTAGATCCCTGCGCAATTTGATTGACGATGGAAGTAAGTGTGTCGGAATCAGTAGGCGGCACGATCCGCCACCGCCTTCAACTTGTTAGCCGCTTGAGGAACTTGTGAAATCTTCTCGATGAGCATCTTGGTTCCCATCTTCTCTGGCTCCAGAGATTTTTTCTCCTCCTTGGGGTTTTTGACGTCGGCGGAAGCACGATGATGACGGTGAAGACCAACATTCCCGAGCTTGCCAAGATCTGCCCGGTTGATGGTCAGGCGAGCGTGTCCCGGTCGGATCTTGGAAGACCACTAGTGTCACCAGAAGCTTCATGGTGCTACCAACAATGGCGGATTGGCGGTGCAATTTGTATCGATCTTGTCTGCACAGGTGTTCTGTCCGGTTCGGTTAGTCGGTTGCAACTGGGTTTCATTGTATGAAGCGGTTACTTCGGTTAACCGAGCAACTAACCGGTAACCGACCGGTCGGTTGCCGGCTAACCGAAGCTTTCCTTCGGGCGGTTGGCGGTAGTCACATCTGATGCCACGATTAACCGGTAACCGACATTTCGGTTATCTGTTATAACTGAACTAACCGAAAATCCAGCCCTACTCCTACGCATATATTTAAGCCGTCATCCTCTTACAACTCAATGAAATTGATTATTTTGTTGCTCTCAAAATGTTTATAGCATTCTTTGTGAGATGCAGTTTGACATATACAAGTATCAAGTTTCTTTGGAACTCAAAAATTACATTGTGTGAGTGTTAAGGCCTAGAAGAAGTTTATTGAAAAGGAGGCCGATGTGTTAAGTAAACTTGAAAAAAACAGTGAGGTAAGTTTCTATATATATTTGTTTTCTCCATTGCTCATAAATATATATTCAAT